ATATAGTAACTCTGATGTCTAATGTGTTTTGTACTCTTACCTCATGGAAGAGTTCAACAATGTCTATATAGTAACTCTGATGTCTAATGTGTTTTTTCAGTAAGATAAACACAGTCTGCTCTATCATGATACAATCATTTATGGCTTTGTACCCAACTTCTGGCTGAAAGAAAATGAAAAAGAAACCTTTATCTCCATCAAATATACTTAATTGCAGTATATTGTATATAGCTAGCTATAATTGTACCTGCAGGCAAGCAGGCAAGCAAGCAGGCAAGCAAGCAGGCAAGCAAGCAGGCAAGCAGGCAGGCAAACAAGCAGATAAGCAGGCAGACAGAATGACAGACAGAGAGAAAGATAGACAAAAAGGCAGAAAGACAGACAGACAGAAAAGTACAGTTAAATAATTGATTAGCATATTAAAATAGACAGACAGGATCCAAATTTAAGCAATAACCTTTTTATACCAACATGTTTTGCCTCTCCTCATCAATGACTGGTCCATTATATCATCAGCCATAAGAAAGAATGCCTGAAACTATAGAGCAACAAATAAATTTACACATCAGAAACCAAAAACCGTTTTTTCAAGCTACATGTGCATCCAACTTGATGGGCCACAAAAATGAAAAATGCAAATTCAGTAACATTGATAAGCCAGTTTTATATTTTAAACTTAAGGCAAGAATAATCAATTTTATGAATTCTTATCGAAAAAAAAGTCATAGAAAATTACGTATGATTCTCATTATAAGCTCCTGTTCTGGTATTGTGGCTCATCAAATCCCTTAAATTTGGATGCGCATGCAATCTTGAGAAAATGGTCTATTAAACTCATCGTTAATGATGAGCTTGGCGTTAGGTGCTTATTCCGTGGGATGGGCGGAGCCAGGCACAAATTAGCGGTAACCATGGTCACCCTGTCACCACCCACCGAACACCTGTCACATTGACCGCGATCAGTCAATGGAATACTTACCTCTACTTACCTGTACCAGTGGTAGGGATGGCGGGTGGGAAAATTAAACTCTTGTTGTAGCGTAATAGCGTCGTATAGCGAGTGCTAGCGAGTAAAGGTTCGCGTGGTTGGCATTAAGCTAGCGTGATCACGTGTGTTGCATCTTATCATATTTCGTAATGATAGCTATGATCCATATCTCAGACAGGCCACAGAGATCGACTAGAATAGATTGCGACATGCTATAAACAACTTGCTAGCTGAGTCGATCAACGATAGCGTGAGGTAATAAATGCGTTGACAGTGGAAGATAGCGGTATGCGTCAGGACAACGTTACTGCGAAATGTCATTGACCTGGAGTCTAACTTTGCCTAAATTACATTTAACCACATTTAACCAATAAGGAGTAAAAATGTATATTATGACAGGCTGGCACACTGTTTGACTAATTAGCCATTGATCAATGGCCAATGATGGCCAGTCATCTGACAATGACTCTGGCTGGAAATGGAACTGATCAAATATTTGCCTTTCTGGTCCTTATTGTCTTTTAAAAACCCTGAAATGACCATCATGATGAATAATATACTACATAAAGCATCTAGTACCAAGGCACCAAACATTGTAGTTTTAGATATTCTTGAATGATTAATTTATGATAATAAACAAAGACGAAGATGAAGGACTAGCATCTGAAACGCCAGTTTTTCCCCTTTTCATGGTGTATAATTTACCTTTTTATCATTACTGATAATAAACATTATGAATCATAATCAGCTCATGAAAAAACTTTGTCTTAGTAATTGAATAAACGATTGTACAACATTTTGGACAGGAAATGATGTTAAGTAAAATCAAGGAAATACAGTAGCTGGGCTCACCCATTCAACACACCATCCCAGGAGCATTGCTATATTGATCTGCTCTTCTGTAATCTTGTCTTCACTTATGATATGTCTAAGTGACCCAATCACTGATAAACCACGATTCCTTTTACCTGGTTATAACAAGCCATTGTTAGTTAAGCAAACGGTGTGTAATGCATGACTATTGAAAATGTCATGTGGAACTTATTGTGTTGCTATATGTAAGATAACTTCTATATGATAGATGTATTTTGAATTGGTAGGCCTGCAAAACACATTCAGGGTTTTTATCAAGGGTCAGAGAATGCTCCTGCCAGTAAATGAGCAAAATTCTTCCTGCAGTTAAAACTACCATTAAGATCATCTTCTCCTATGATTTCAAAACTTAATCAAAAACCCTGCCAGGACTCAGTCCCCTTACTAGTAAAATAACGGCTGGACATTGGACAATGTCCTGGCTGAATCAAATTACATACCAAACCAACTAGCATGCGATACTCGTAAAATAATACTGACCTCCTGGTACATTGTATTCAAGGACCTAAGAAAAACAGAAAATCACATTACTGATATTTAATTAAGAAATTATTTTCATAAGCTTAAGTTCTACATCACATATTCAATTGTAAAATAAATAAACTATAAAGCAGTTTTCATTCACCCGTGAAACAAAGTGAGAACTTAATTAAATTAAGGGACGGACCATTAGATTTTTGAGGGGGAGGGGGGGGGGGTTGGGCAATTTATTTTGTGTAAGACTTTTTTTACGCCTTATGTCTATGCAGGAAATTGTTTTGGACATAATTTGAGATTTCTTCTGGCACTTTTCTTATGTACGATTTTTTTTTACACTCTTGAAAGCTGTACCTCCCCCCCCACCCATTAAAAATCAAATGGTCTGTCCCCCCCGGGGGGTACTCTGCCAGGATTTGGGTAGGGGTGTTCTGCTGGGATTCTGAAAGGGGTACCCTGTTTATGACAAAAAAACTCTAATTTGTAGATGTTAATGATAAAAGATATAATTAATTGCCCTGAGTTCCTGTTTCAATTATCATGTCAGCTCGTGTATTGTTGTTTTTTCTTACGACCATAATAACCAGTTTTGGTCAATACGAAAGTAGAAACCCTGAATATGACAGGAAACTCAGGAAGAACTTGGAACTTGAGTGAAATTGCATACCTTTATGAAAAGAAGCTTGAAAAACCATACCCTGTTCAGCCCATCCCGTATAGTCCATATATGGGAGTACCCGCCCCGGGTCCGTCCCCAAGTAAATTTAAATATACCTGTATATGCTACACTTCGTTTCAGGGGTTTATAAAAACCACTGTATTTGTAAAAGCTATAGAAAAATAATGTTCATAAAATAATTTACAGTGACAATTTAAATATACAAATCATTGATATTTTAACTGGGAATTTTCTACTAAGCGAGCTGTCTTCAAAGGCCTTGAAACGAGTGTCCATATAATATGAATTTCGAGATTCTGGGAGTTTAAACTGTAGCATAAACTTTGAATTCTTATCATATGATCAAAGTAATCTTCAAGGTTATATACTATATACGAACCTCTTTGACTCTAATAACTGCTTCACGGATTTTCAAATCTTGAAAGTCACTCTCCTTCATCAAGTCGTTCACTAATTCAGGGAAAGCCTTGTCGAATCTTTCAACGTCGTTTTCCATGGGTTTCATACACTTTGCTGGCCTGTCTAAATCACTCATTATCCACTTTCCAAGGCAAATTTAGAAAGAGAATATTAAGCTATTTTTAAGAAAAAGGAATTTCTCTTTCTAAAGAATATTTGCCTTGGGATCAGTCCCGAACGATATCAACCAGGCGTTCTTTGATATACCGAGTAAGACTGGGGACCGAGTAATTTTTTTAAGGTAGCTGTGAACAGCAAAATGGCTGGGGAGAGTGTTTCAGGTAAAATTTTAAATCTATTAATCAGAATAATCTGCAGTTTCTGTGGAAAAGGAAATGAATGTTAAATGCAACAAAATGGGGGGCTCTTCCATTAGGTTTGTTCTGCACTCACTACCATTTTTTATGACAGGCAACATTCAACTCACATGTTGATTGGCATGGAGGTGAACCGGAAAAAACCCTTGTGGCAAGCAAGATATCTAAAGGCACAACCCAGGGTTTGAACCACACAGCATTGAGACAGCACAGAATCAGTTCATGACACCCATTACAAGAACCATGCAGGAAGCACCCTAATTAGAGACCATTCATTTTTACAGGTTTGGGCAGGAAGGAACTGGTAGGCTTGGGGTAAAACAATATGGCATTCCTGTTTTAATAGTGTGCCATATAAAAAAATTCAGGGTTCATACATTTTTTGATTTGTAATTCACAAAATCCAAATTGCACAAATTTGATTGAACAGGGGAATTTCAAAAGCGCTACAAAACACTAGTTTTACCTAACACTTTTTAATAATTATAAAAACTTGTTATTTACAAAATATAAAACCTTTATCTGATAATATTAAGGGTGCTTCACATAATTATATTTGTGCAGGACAGGACTGTCTGCTAAACGTACATTTCTTGATGAAATCGAGTCAACACATAACAGGTCTATTATTAATTGTACACAAATTTTAGAATTAATGATAGGATTAAAAAACAACAAAAAACAACAACAAAAAAAAAAACAAAACAAAAAACAAAACCAATAGAAAAAAAACAACAAACAAAACAGAAACCATGAACCAGTCTCATATCATACAGTATAATTTGCAATTTACCATAGAAACAAGTTCTGATATAGTATAATTTGCTAGTTTGAGCGGTATCTTAGCACATATATATTTACAGTCAAACTTACTCTACTGTGTTTCTATCAAGGTTCAAATAGTCAGTTTCTTTTTTTTATTCAATCTTGATTTTAAACTAATTTTGAACCTTGCACTGATAAAAATGAATGTGAAAGTTACAAGGGTTTTTATTATGTAAGTTTTACAACAAAATTGAATCAACCTTGATAGGAATGTGTAAGTTTGAATTTAACATTTAATGTCTGTTAATAATACAGTAAACTGTCTGTTTAATCTGTCAAGGGTACATATACATACATTCTAGTGCAACTACATTCACCAAGGCCACCCAAACAAACTTTAATCAAACTTACAAAATCACGTTTCAGGTGCTAAGTAATACGGCAGTGATGAATTCTGGAGTTTAAATGGTTTCTTGTTCACTCCTGATCATACACACACATAAAAAAAGATGCTTTTAAAGGAAAAAAATGTAAACATTTGTGCAGATTCTTCGTTTACATACTTAATAATTGTGATTGGCTAATTTCTTTGAAAATGTGTCTGGAAGGCCTTTTGTCGGTGCAGTTGCACATAATACTTTTTAGTAAAAATACACAGGTGATTATTGAAATTTTTTTGAAAGAATCACCTGTGTATTTATACTAAAACAATTATTCGCCAAAGGTGAAATGAATATTGGAGAATATTTACCTTGCAGCTTGAAGACTCACGTCTCGGTAAATATTCCCCGATATTCACTTCGCCTTCGGCGAATAACTGTCAAATAATATGCCTACAATTTAGAGGCTTTGCAACTTACAATATGGAAGTAAAATTATACTATTTTGAGATCCACAGCGATAGTACAGTGAGCCTATATAGTTATCATAATATACTTATTATTTTAGAGCTTATGCAGCTACATGTAACTAGAAAACTTATATATAGATGTCTTTTGTGTGCAACGAATACAGACAAACTTAAAACTGTTCTGCAACACACTTATTCCTACATCTTATAGCAATAATAATTATGATTGCCACGCATGTTAGCAAATTAATGCTAAACAAACCATTACAAAACCCAAAACAAAATAAATTTTGAACCAAGTAAAATATATCATAACATGAAATTTGTCTTTTGTTAACCATTATATTGTGAATAAAATAAAAAAATAAAAAGACATAAAGGTGAGAATGTTCCACGATGTTCAAAAATAATTGAATAAAGTTCTGTCAATTTTATCTTGTGAAAAAAATATGGCTGCCACTTTTGTTTCCCCCCCCCCCCCGATCAATTCTTGCGCATCAATCTATTACATGCTTATCAGATTTAGTCAAGATCAAGTTATATATGTTATTTCATATTGTACAAAAGTACACAGACGTGCATTGATGGTTAAATGTGTATTTATAAGTAAAACCAAAACACACACAAAGCTAGATAGACTAGTCAAATGATCACAACTACCAAACATTGATAAGAAATGCTTCGATAAGATTTTAATTGATTTTGCCATTGATAATACTCTTCTCTTACTCACACTATACCATTCATACACACACATACATGTACATATCTACCCTGCATTCAGACCATCATTAAAGTGCTAGAATATCATCAGTATTGTGGCTATTTTCCTCTCTGCACATCTAACTCCCTTCTTGAAAATGCATATTTTTATAGCCCCATAAAGATATTTCTTTTCTGTTATCATCCCCTTGGGAGGTCACATATCTTATTTTCTACAACACTTGGTTAAAAAGCTCTGTTAAAACACTATATCTCAAACTATTCTTCAAATAAGAGGCCTCAAATCCCCTATCCATACACATTCATCTCTCCTAACTCAATTTTTTTGATTTTGCTTATAAATTATTTTCTATAAATTGAATCATACTTATTTCATTACAAATATTTCTCAGTACTTTTGATTAACTTAGTAAATGATTTTGAACTTTTTTGAAAAGCTATACATGCCAAACCCTTCCCATAATTACATATTATATAAATTTACCAAACCATGGGCACTTAACTAAAGTGCAGTAAACATTTAAAACTTTAACTTAAGCCACAGTAGGAGCACTGAATTGTAAAGTCCTTGCTGCTGTTCTGTAGCTTGCAATAAAATTCTTAGCTTGTTCTGTGACAAACTGCTGGTCTGGAGTCTTTCCACAAGCTACTTGTTCCCATGTTGTGTCCATCTGTGAACAGAAACAATAAAAAAGATAAGGTTGTGAACTTTAAGGGGAACAGGAATTTTGTACTTCTGCTAGCTGAGATGGGTTCCTATAAAGACTGCAATAATTGTAAATGTTATGCATAGCTTTAGTTTGCTGTAGCAAATTAAAGACTTGATTTCCTTTCTCACTAACAAATCAGGAAAAAAAAGATTTAAGGAGGCTCGAAACAGTAGGAACTTTAGTGTTTTGTCTATGAATGGATGTGATGAAATTTCCTATCTTTTCTCAAGTTTCGCCCTTTAAAGGAAATTCAAAAAACAGATGAAAAAGTTACCTTTTTTGCCGTTTTGCGAGCTGAAAAACGCAAGTACCAAAAGGTACCTTATTCTTTTATTTTAAGAATTTATTTTAATTTAATTTTTATTTTATTTCTAATTTTATTTTATTAAAAAAAAAATCACCGAGTTATGATTTTTAAAATGAAATGTTGTCATGGTAACGTCTTACAGCATTTTTTAATGTTCATTGTGATATTTGGTTAATGGTCTTTGGCTTTCTGGGTTTACTTGCTGCCATATTATAACCATTATTACATTTTCTTTAGTTCATAATTTTGAGTGTGAAGGCACAAGACACTTTCCAGCCTCCTTAAGCAGAGAAATAGCAGAGATTGAGCCCAACAGCTGTGAAATAAGACATAGGAGATGCAACTGGATAGGAAATGCAGTGTATATACTCAGGAAGGATGCCTGGCAAGAATGACTGTATGACAATACATTGGGATAGAAGCCAGCGTGGACAGTTGAGGAAGAATTAAACAAGTTGGTATGGATGAGCTGACTAAAGTGGTGGCACAGAGCAGTCTGGGTTGTGGTGAGTTGTGGAGACAAATAATGATAAGCTAGGCCTTATGCTCCTAATAGTGAAGTAATAAACAACAAATCAGGAACTGTTATATAACAAACTTACCCCTACTTGACATTTTCTTGGAGTTTCTTGGAACTGTAGAGGTCTCATTGGATTGTTCTTCTTTTTCTTCTACAAGTAAAAATGAAAAAAGCATATTTCAATTTCATATGAATTAAAATTAATTAACTCCTAGCACCCATTTTCTTAATCTCTGACCCTCAAAAAAATAAAGGCATTGGATAAAAATACAAAGAAATTGTGAATAAGACAAGATTTTCTTTGCATATATTAAAGTTTTGGTTTTAATGGTTGTGCAGTGCACATGGTCAACCCACTTTTAATAGTCTTCACTCCCAACTTTTCCAGCCACATTGACATTCTTGAGAATTAAGATAACTGCAAAAGTAAGAACTTACCAACATATCACTGTTAAGGTTGGTGCTGGGTGTCACAAAAGGGTTTTGTTTGCAGAAGACTTCACTTGGCTTGACAATTGTAGGATCTTGTGTTGGAGACATAAGCAGAGATGTTTGTGCAATGCCCGAGTCATCCTTCAAGAGAAAATAGACAATGCATTATTGTCTCTCCACCATTAATATGCATTATTAACATGTGTGGAAAGAGGTGCAGTATGAGAGTGCCTGCTTCTCACCATTAATTGTGAGTAAAGTTCCTAGTTGGGTCATTCCTGTGCTTTGAGGGATTTTTTCCGAGTTCAAGTTCAGTTTTCCTCTGTATGCTTAAATCTACTTTTAAATTTAAATTCCAATTTCATCACAGGATGAGGACCACAGGTTTGTTAGCCACTGGCTATTAAGTGCTAGGAGATGTAGAGCACAATTAAGAGAACCAATCTTAAAAACAGGAGGTGCTCTACTAGTGCTCTACAGCTCCCAGGGTGTATAACACAACTCGGAAATATAAACAGCTCTATTTTATATTGCTTTTGTAAAATATTTTTGCAAGATGTTTTTTGAGAGTATCGAGCTGCCCTTTGATATTACATGCATATGGTAGGCAGCCAATCGGCATGTATGTTAGTATCGAGCTGCCCTTTGATATGACATGGTAGCCAACCAATCAGCATGTATGTTAGTATTGAGCTGTCCTTAGATATAACATGCATATGGTAGCCAGCCAATCAGCATGTATGTTAGTATAAGCCTTTTCACAGTTTAAGAATCGATTCCACAGCGCATGCGATTTTATCCCGAATTTCTACATTCTTTTGTCTAAACCTTCTTTTGTTCTTAATTAAACAAAAGAAGGTGAGAAATTCGGGATAAAATCGCATGCGCAGTGGAATCGATTCTTAAACTATGAAAAGGCTTATTGAGCTGCCCTTAGATACAACATGGTAGCCAGCCAATCAGCATGTATGTTAGTAGGAATCTCAAGTATTTATCCATCCAATTGATGCATGCATCATATTTTAAATAATTTTATGATATAATACACAAAGGAATAGTACTACACAGCAAATATCAATAAAGCTCACCATGATGTCTGTTTTGCCAGACATAGTGTTTGTAACATTTGTTGTACTGTCTTCATCCACAGAAGAAAGTTCCTCTCTAATACTGAACAGTGCTGGTATAACAAGATCCACATTTTCATCTTCTATTCTCTTGCAGAGAGACATGCGTGCTTTAGTTACTGGTTCCTTGCTGGCTGAACATGTTATTGAAACTCCACTTTCCTCAGCTTCCTTCTTGATTATTTCACTGAAATCTTCATCAAAATGGGCCGGGGTCTGTAAAAAAATTATTATAGTAGAGGTCACTGTCAGCATTCAGACCTGTAGTTACTAATTAAAAAATTAATAAATAATTAATGACCTTAGAACAATACAAAATCACTACTAGCACTGTGAAGGCATCTGTAAATCCTGATATATTGCATAAGGTTGACTTTGAAATATCTCGACCAAATTACATTTAATGTTAAAAATTTTAATCTCAAAAAGCATTAATCTAGACATTTTTTAAGTAGTATACATGTACAATATTCATTTGAGACCTGTATGAGGTTTAAAACAGCTTGCTGTTTTAAACCTCATACAGACCTCCCGCTTATATTGTATATATTACATAAAAAGTCCATTAACGTACATGTGCCATCTTTGTTTCATTGAGGATTTTCAATGCATTTTTGAAAGGAGTTGGTGTCCTGGGAGACATATGCAGCCACGATCTTCTTACTCTTGGTGTACGGTAATTCTCGTCATTATTGTTTGTGTCACTTACAACTGGTGTATTAAGAGTGGTGGTAGTAGAGACTGGCATTGCCTTCTGCTCAGTTGGTGTCGATGTGATGATTTTGTTAGAGTTAGGGGAATTCAGGAACTGTGATGGTGAAAATGGCAAGGACTTTATTGGGGTGCAACCCTTTGGGCTGCTAAAAATGCATTCTTGTGAAGAAGTGACATTGGTAACTGTGGAACTGGCTGTTGATTCATTCAAGTCTGAAGCCTAAAAATCAAATTGAAAAACTATTAAACTCTTGTTTATATAAAATGAAATTGTAAGTGTTAATCATAAACTTGTGCTCAACAGTTGTGTTACAAAATAGATCTTTCCTGATTTTATATTGATTAACAATTTTATGTTATTAGAATTTTCCTTCTTTAATCTTAATGTATTAACAGCCTTACAGTCGGTTTCACATTACTTTACACCTTCGGAACTTCACAACTAAGTTCGTTATGAACTGTAGAACTTCACGTTGAAATTTGGATTTTGGCTTAGTATATGGAATTTGGAGTTCCTGAATGAATATCCCAAAGGAAATCCAGAAGCTCCTGGTTGAAAATCAAGTTCCTTTGCTGCAAAATAAGCCAATCAAGTTCTGAACTTTGGCAGGAAATTCAGAAGTTTATAACGGACTTTGTTTCGAAGTTGGTCGCAAATTTTGGAATTTCCGAACATAGTTCGGAACCCAAAGGTGTAAAGTAATGTGAAACTGACATAATAAATAATAAAACACAGGCGTTGCTTTGATTAAAAACTTTTCTATTGCTGGACATCCATATTCATTTATATGACTAGTGGTTACTACAGTTGGGACTGTGCTGAATACAACCGGTGAATAGAAGAAAACTTAAACACGGTTTAAAAACATTTGTAACAGTACTGATTTTTTTAACACTAATAATCTTTATCAGAGTGAAAGAGCAAATTAATAGTATTAACATTTTAAATGCAGTTTGATGTTGTCAAAAATGAATGATGCAACTACCTTTCTCTTTTTTCCTCTTCTTAGAATGGTAGGTGGTGTGCTGAATCGCGACTGTAACACTGGTGAAGTGATTGGAATCAGTGACCTGTAAGAATAATCTAGCATTAGCTACAGTACTAGCATTTACCAGGTGAGAATTGCAGTTCCAAGGTGAAAGCCAGTCTCAACTGTAATACCATTGATATCAAACAATGTCCGGCCAGGATTCAAACCTATCTGTTCAAATCTTTGACTTGCAACATTGAGCTGGAAATGTGGTATGACAGAGCTAAAAACTCATAGGCCATTGGGAGGACATAACCATGGGGCCATTATATTAATAGATGCCAAAAAAAGGACTACTCTTATTTAGAGAACTAATGTCGTTTCAAATCCTTTTCCAAAATATTTTTTTACCTGTAAGATACTTTCAATTTCCAGAAATAATTATACAGTTTAATATTGTTTGCCATCCAGCATCTGGAGCCTTCCCCAAGGTACATTTGGCTGAATTGATTTGTTTTCAAAGTGATATATCAGCACATGACTGTTTGAAGCAAATGGCCTATTTGGCCAGTCATGATTACTGGTGACTATATAATCAGCCCTTATTTTTATTCCTGTACATAAGTCAATGGCTTACCCATCTGAGTTGATTCCATCAATCGTATTTCCATCAAATCTGTACCCTGAAATGAAAACAAGCATAATAATTAATATAATTTATAGTCGTAAAATGAAAACTGAAATGTAGTTGTTAAATTCTTTACGTACCTCTTGCACCAGGTGATGTCAGTTTGGTGATGGTATTGCTCTTCACCATTCCTCCACCATTTTCAAAGGTGCTTAGGTCACCCCATGTTGAAGGATCTGAGTCCAATAAACTCTGCGACAATATAAAGCTGCTAAATGGAGAAACAATCCCAGGGTGTTGCTCACTTCCCTTATTTTTATGACCAGTTTGGTTTACAGACTGTTTGGGTCTGATGTTTGTTAAGGGATCTGTTGAGTTTTTAAGACCAACTTGCAACACATCTCTTGTAGCATGTCCATGTTCAACAACCACTGTAGTTGATGATGCAACTGACATGCCAACAGGAAGGTTGTTTAAGTTTTGCTGCAGTTCTGTGTCTCGGTAAGTAACTTCATGTTTTCTTCTCTCTGAATATAGTTCAAAGCAAGACAAAAAATTCTTTAAGACATGGCATAATGAAGATAACATGGCTTCAGGATAGCAAGACAAGAAGACATCATTGTTAGTTTTATTTAATGTTTTCATAAAGTCACCACTGACCAATAGATCTTTTCTGAATGCACTTAAGAGTGGCTGTCCGTAACGGTCGAGAATGGCGGGACAGCGAAGGAATTTTCAAATTTCTCATATTTTGTCAGAAGACAACCTTTGGTAAGCT